ATTCCGGGTGCGGGCCCGAGCACCCGGATTCTACAAAACTGCAGCACTGCAGTCTAGAGAGCTCTTTGAGCTACGTCCTGTCTTCTACTCTTACTACCTGTAGCGAGAGCCTNTTNATTAGCTGTAGCAATATACCCTGTACACGTGCCTGTCCTTTCTGCCTGTGAGCCCGAACCGTGACATCTATCTAGTAATAGATTTAGTAATCTTAAACGTAATAGATAGATAGATTAGGTTAGAGATTAATAGATTGTTTAGATTATTAAGATTAGGGTGCAATATTGACTTGGGTTAGGGATTAGTATCGTCCTAACATAGATTAGAGATTAATAGATTAGTTCTCTTAGAGATTAGCTAAATAGCTTAGATCTCTAACAGTTTATAGCCTATCTAATATAGAGAACGCTCTGCCTTTAAGTTAGACTATAATTTATATACTTTACTCTACCTAATCTACTATAAATCCTAGACTTATATAATACTATATAATAAAATAGAGTAATATAAGTAAGGCTATACTATATAGGCTAGTACCTCTTAATAAAAAACATACTATCTCTTTATATTATAGCTAACTAGCGTACCTTCTTCTTTAAAGTAATACCTTACCTAAACGTTATCCTAGAAAAGACGTTAAGGTTAGCTACTAAGAGTTTATTATTTAATATTGCGCTTACCTCGTAAGTATCTCTATACTAATCCCTTATTAAAAGTATAAAAGAATAGAGCTAGCTAACTTACGTTTTACTAACTTATTTAGGTTTTTCGCCTAAATAGTATACTTAGGCGCTTCTCCTTATTAGCCTCGCCTTTAATCTACTCTTACTATACCTACTATATTAACTAGAGCCTATAAATCTCTCTATAAATAGTAAGTAGCGACTATATACGTAACTAATATAGAAAAGGCTAAGTCTATACCTAGACGATCTTAGAGCTTAAGAATATAGTCTACCTAAATACTACTAAAGAGAAAATAGAGGCCTTCTGCGCTTGCCTTAAATAGGCTATACGCTAGTATATACTAGTATAAGGTCTAGGCTAAAGCTCTCTACTTCTAATACCGCACGAATAGACCTCTAACTACTAAGTTAAATAGCTTCGCGTAAACGAGGTTTACCTTTTTATTAGTATAGCATAATAAGAGCTATATAATAAAGTTATACGTTATATACCTATATATATCATACTATACTAGAATAATTAGTTTAGATTATTCTCGTGCTTACCTTTTGCTAATAGGTTAGCTGCGGCTAAGTAGTTATCGCGTAGTATCGACTTAGTAGGTATTAGTGCCTACCTCTATTATAAGCTGCCTAACTTAGTGGCGGCAAGCAGAGCGCTAAAGAAATAGCTTAGGCTAGATAGGATTACTAGTAGGCCTATAAGCTATAAAGAGCTTCTAAGTATCAAAGCAAATATATAGAAGATAGGTCGTAGGATAGAACAGGTTAATAGTATATATTAACTCTAATCTTAGCATAGTTATACGATTAAAGTTAGATTAAAAAGTAGGCTCTAAAATAGCTATACAACGCTCAATACTATAGAGAGAGTATAAAAGTCTCTCTTAGTAACCCTATATACTACCACGACGTAACCCTAACTTAAGGTTAGCTTAGAGTTAAGCTCTAACCCTAGTTCTAACCCTATCTATAGTAACTACCCTAAATAGCTATATATATAAAGCTGCGAGTTTCGCGCTACTATTAGAGAGACTAGAAAAGACTTTCTTAGTTACCGCATATACTATGACACCCTCTAGAGCCTATACTAGAGTGCACTTAGAGTTAAGTTAACCCTAACGCTAAGCCTAAATAGTGCGAATCGGGGGTCTTAGATTTCGCGAATTGGGGGTGATAAAATCGCTAAATCCAGCATGCAACCCTAACGCTAAGCCTGTTTCGGCACGAATTAGGCCTCTTTCGTCGCCTTATATTGGTTAGGCGAAGCCTCGAATCTAATATATATAGAGTAATCCAACCTTATAAAGCACTTTTAAGAGATCGCGCGTAATAAGAACCTACACTTTTAAGGTTATACTTAAGCACTTCTAAGGTAAGATTACCTACGCACGGACCAGTTTTTAGACACTTTTGATAGCGAAGCCTCGAATCTAATATATATAGGGGGGTACCCAATGACCAGTCTAATCTAGGCTATAATTACTAAGAAAACTCTACTAGGCACTAATTAAGTACTAAAGACTACTAGAGGGCTCTTAAGGATATAAATCGACTCTCTCGGGACTATTAAGTCCTAAGAGGGGGAATATTGTTAAGAGCTTCCCCTCTATAGGCAGCCTTACACTATCCTAGGCTAGTCTAGCCCTTATTAGCCTATCTTAGTTATATCTAACTTATTAAAGTAGATATAAGCACAGAGAATACTACCTAAGCTCGGTAGCTGTTCGTCTACGTGAATTACAGACCGTTTACTCAAGACTGCTATTGTTTTACTCTACCCGTGCCTAATAACCTTTAAACGTCTCACAGTTATCAGCTTCCACAGTACCCTTTTCTCTTATTTTAATCTTTAAATACATGATAATAGCTAGGCATCCTTTGAAGCCTAGGAGATATTGATGCTTTTGCTAATCTCTTTCCTTACCTCGGTCGCAATATCTAAAACATGCTCTCGGCTCTCGTGAGAGTAGACATTTAAGTATGCGACGAATGTATTCGTGCCCGTAGAAGGATGGGGGATTCTATCTCCCTTCTTCTTATACGTTAATGCTTTTGAGATATACTTTGCTAGATTTGGACGCCGTTCCTTTAGTTCCTCTGTTACATTTCCAGATTGCCAAATACCTTGCTTAGAGGCATCAAACTCGGCGGAGACAAAGATCATGTCGGCAAAGTACTGTGGGCCATTATGATATGGCTGCGACAGAGCCCGAACTCGCTGCTCCTCGCGCAGTGGTATGGCAATTAGCAAAGCCCAATAGTCTACACCCCAGGTGGTCTCGACCACATCACTCGAGTTCAAACCTGGAGGCCGGACATTACAGTCCATAAGAAAGCAAGAAGGCGGCTTGGTGGCTGGCTCGCACCGAGGTAGCAGCACGGGTGCGCCAGATCCGTTCTTGCGCCATTCTTGGGTCGAGTTGGCTACTCGAGCTTCGCAGTGGTATATACCATTTTGAAAACCCAGCCCTAGCAAAGTCTTCAGAATAGAATCGCGCAAGACATGCTGCTCCTTTTGGGGCAGTGCTGAAGGTGAGACACAGTCGAGTTCGTGGAATGAATCGGACCCATCCTCTGCCCTCTTTGGATTTTCGTCGCCAATCTCTGTTTAAATGTGAGCTTGCATGCTTTGCGTCCGGAAGAGGAGTGAGGTGACCTTACCCCAAAAAAGAAGTTCACCATTGTATAGAACGAAATTTATGTCTACTTCTGGGCCATCACAGTACGGTTCAATTACAAACTGTGCTCCGTGACTCGTAGCGGGATTGATCGTTTTGGCCCACGCCACAAGTTGTGCAGCGCTGTCGGCACGAAAGACCAACTCAGAGCCCCAACCGCGGCAGGGTTTGACGATGGCAGGCCACGTAAGGTCCTTGGTCAGTGCATTCTGAATCAGATCCTCGATTCCATTGGCAAGGAAGCATTTCCGACCCTCAATGGCACTCAGTTGGTACTTGTCCGTGGCAACTTGGTAGGCGGCGGTAGGCTCGTGGGGAAGACCCAGCTCAGCGGCAGCCTGACTCACGGCAGAATGGTAACTATCAAAGCAGTTGAGCAGAGCCTCAACTTGTTCACCTGAGCTCTTGACAGCCGCGACAATTCTTGATGGGAAGGCTGCGTCATGGCCAAATTCGATTGGAATGAAAGCCTTCCGCCAGTGGATATACTTAGGACCTTGTAACCAATGGCCCTCGACACCAAGCACTATGATGTCGACCCCCAATGACATTGCCGCACTGTAAAATTGTGTAGCGCAACCACCCGTGTCTGGAAGCATCTCGCTACCTTCTAAGACTGCCATAGTGCGTCTGCGGAGGCCGGGGACAGTCAAACGGCTTGGCAATCGATTGAACAGTTCGCTTTCAAGGTCGGAAAGGGTGTCCAATACCCTTCCAGGAGAAGTGGAGTCGGCACGCAGGCGTATGGCTCCGACAGCGTGCTTTATCAGAGTAACCAGATCATCAGTATCGGAGAATGGTTGCCCATTGTACTGCTGAAGGGGCTGGGCCAGGGCGACCACGACGTCGAGATATTCAATGTCCTGCATGCGCCGAGGCACGATGTCGGCTCGGGCAATGTTGCCTCCATGAGCTGGAGCGACCAATTTGATTGCTGTCTGGCTGGCCGATTGAGTCGTGGCTTTTAGAGTATCGACTAGAAATTCCAGGGCGTGGGGATGGCCCAATGTAGCCGCTTGAAGTTCCAGTCGGTCATGACCGGGGTCCTCTATGTAACAATGCAAAGGGTGCTCGGATAAGGTGAAGTTGACGGGGACTGACAAGGGCGAGAATAGCACGTCGGCGGACTGGAAGGACTGGCTGGCGTTCGTCACGGACAGCACCGTCCATGATACCTGCCATGACGCTGCGGATCCATCTGGGCTTTGAAGGACGATCAGACACGACATGGTGCAGCGCAGGGACTGGTGGTAGGTAAGGCTTCTTTGGTGCACGCTTCTCCTGTATGGCCTCGTGTATGCTGTTGCGGACGGTGGGTCGAACTAAATGGAACGGAAGACGACGCCGTGCAGCGACGCCGTCCCGGTTGTGCAGTAGTAATGTTTGTGGTGGAAGTCATACTGGGGCACGAATTGTTTCTGACTGTGCTGGCTGACTGTGCTCCGTAGACATGTCACGCGTGCTTCGGCCAAGTCATGGTCGGCAGCAAGACTTTTATACTCTGCATTTCCCCCCACCGCTAAGTCTGTCTACTCAATCTACCACCGAACCGAGTCATCGCCATGAGTAGGACTGCGCAGATTGTCTATCGAGAGGAAGGGGACTCCCATGGGGAGCGGGGGAGGGGGTGGAAGATCACATGGAGTATCGCCGCCCAGCAGCCGCGATTCTACCAGTCGGCGAATATCACCATTGAGGCTATGACCAACGCTGGCGTGGCCGACGAGCTTGTCGCCGACGTTGGTGCGTTGATGACGAGCGAGCGTGATAGTCTCATTGCCCTCGAGGATCCGGAACAGACGGGCACAGCTGAAAGAGGCGCGCTGGCCGAAGGCGTAATTGGACGCCGTAGTCTTGACTTCCTCGTCGACACCCTCCAGCGCACCACCACGCACGCTCTCCAGGCCATCACCTTGATCGCCCCACGAGGACATGGCAACATTGTGCGCGCCGACATTGTGCCCAAGCGCATGCACGATGTCGATAACGTCGAGACCACGGTGGCGCTCGCAGAGCCTTTGCAACTTTACACGGACGAATCGTGGACAGCAACCACCTCTCTGTCGACCCTCTTCCGCACCGCCGCGGGCGCCATTCGTCTAAGCCCACTGTCAGAGGGGACCATTGCCGACGCCTGGACAGCACTTGAACCCGAGCTGGAGAACCGCCTGAGTGTGCCGCTCCTGCTCACCGGCCTGAAGCGCCAACTGCTGTTCATGGTCGAGGGCGGGCTTAGCTTTCCCTTTGCCGGTGCTTGCTCGTGGCAACTCTATGAGACGGCAAAGTCGCTGGGTATCGATCTCGTCGTCCTCGCAGAGGAGGGCCATTCGCTCAAGCAGCAACCCGAATTCGCCCACTGGTGTCACGACTTCGTTCCCATACAATGCGGCTATGATGCCGAATTCCATGCGAGAATCGTTTCCGCCGTCAAGCAATATGAGCAAGACTCTGGCAGATCGGCAGACGGACTCCTCACAGCGTATGAGAGCTACCATATCCCTGTCTCGACTGCCGCACAACAGCTTGGCTTGTCCTACGAACCCTTGTCTGCGTACGAGGTTGCGACGGACAAGTTCAAGACTAGTCTCTCCGAAGGCCGCAAGTCCTACACGGCATCAAATGTGGACGAAGCTTTGCATATTGCGAGGTCCGAGACCTTGCCGTGGCCGCTCATCATAAAGCCGTGTCGCGGATGGGCGTCGGAGCTGGTGTTCAAGGTGGACGACATCCAACAGTTGGAACAGTTCGCTCCCCGCATGAGATCCGATAGCCACGGCGCCCAATTTGTCATGGAGCATTACTGCAGTGGTCCCGAAGTCGATATCAACTTTGTCTTGTATGATGGCCAAGTCTGTTTCTGGGGTGTGGTGTCATCCTTCTTTCCTTTTCGTAACACAAGCTGATCAAGAGTAGATATCGGTGACGAAACTCCCAAAAACGCCGATGGAGGCTCGACCTCCTTTGGCGAGTTAGACTATCTCTTCCCATCTCAACTCCCCGAGGCCGAACAACGAGCTGTCTACGACGCTGTCCTGCAGTCCATGGCTCGCCTCGGTTTCCGCAACGGCATCTACCACTGCGAGGCTCGCATTGAAAACTCCTCGGTCGAATGGCGATTCGATTCACGGGGCATTCCTTCCCTTGAGCCGCGTCAAGATCACAGTGGTAAGTCCGCAGAGTCATGGCTCATCGAGATCAACACCCGGCCTCCAGGCGGCGACACCTGCGACTTCATCGAGACCACGTGGGGTGTCGACTATTGGGCTCTCTTGCTTGTCACAAAGCTTCGCGACGCCTCAGCATGGGTACACGCGCTTTCGCAGCCGTATCGCAATGGAGCTCAGTATCACGCTGATAAAGTGTGGATCATTGCCGACTGGGACCCACCAAAGAAGGGCATCTGGGAGTCGGGTAACATCACGGAAGAACTATTACAGCGACGCCCAGACCTAGCTAAGCATGTGTCTCAGCATCGCACCTTTGCAAGAAAGGGCGATCAGTTGCGCCATCAGTCCACTGGAGCAAACAGCTTCGTGGCCTACTTACACATCTTCTCGAGACACAGTCGACTGCATCTCCTTGAGTTAGCGAATGAGATCCGAAACGAGCTTCGTATAGAAATCTCCTAGGCTCAGACTTAGTCTAGATTAGATCCAACATCGTGGATGAAATAGACTACCTATCTCCGTGACTTAGCCTTATATTACCACAAGGATATGTGCTTCTCTAGTTTGATATAGATGTCTTGCTATGTTACCACAATCAGTGGTGTATATAATCAGCGTCTCTAACGTCCATCCTTATAGATCGAACATCCCTCCGCAACGAACCGTTAACATTGCTTATATAATTACGTTATATCCAAGCCGCATAATTCTATAGAGTTAACATGGCTTACAAGCGAGCGGCTCTATATATATTACAAGCAATAGCAGGAAGAAACCTCTCCCTAGGTATGACAATAAATAGTTGGGAGACTACTTAAGATCCTAAAGAACAGGATAATTCTCGCGGGCCGAAGATTATATAGCTTAGTATCCTACTAAGATAGAATCTCTAGAAGGCTACTATAGAAAGAGGGCCTAATATTCTTCTAAGCTTTCTACTAAGATATATTTCTATAGAGAATAGAACTAAAAGTAATAACAATATAATAAGTAATAGATTTTATTATTACCCTTATTTAGACTGGTATTTGGGTAGAGGTTGGGTAGGGGTAGGGTTGCCAAGAGTTGGGTAGAGGTAGGGTAGGGTAGCGATTATGTAAGACCCCAACCCCTACCCCTACCCAACTCTTAGCAACCCTACCCCTACCCAACCTATATGGCCTATGCAACCCTACCATACCCCTACCTAATCTTAGCGCCAAGATTAGGTAGGGGTAGAGGTTAGGTTACTGTTACGACCAGCCTCAGAATGTGGAGGACATTTCGTCGTTACGTTTATTTAACGAGTAATCTGTGAGACGGCGAAAGAGCTGCAGGAAACGACGTACACTCTTTAGGAATAGTTATTAGGTAACTACTTAATAATGAGCGCTTACTAGTGAGTAGATGCTTAGCACTATAGCGCTTACTAGTGAGCAGCACTTGGCGAGAGTGCTCAACATTAAGCGCTTATTAGTGAGCATTACTCATTGTTGAGCATAACACTCACTTAGTATATAGTATTAAGTATTAAGCCCTTATAGCTTAATATATTTAACTTAAGTTCTAAGTATAAGTATAATATATAGAGTTATTCTACTTACCTAAGTTACTGTCCTATTGCATACTATCTCTCTATCTGCGAAAACTAACTAATAAGAAGCTTAATACTAGAAGTCTTATATTACTTCTACTTAAGCTATACTCTTAACACTTTAAA